TCGATCGCTTGTTTGATATTTTCGCCAAACCATAAGTTCCTCATTGAGACGGAGGCCACGGCTGTCGTGATCTTTGGTCCACCACTTCCGCCGATCACGAGTCGTAAGCCTTTACATCAAAATAAATCATAAATATATATAAGAATCGGAAAATATATCAATTTCAATATACAGTAGAATCTACAGAATCTATATTATACTTTAGATACTGTACATACCGTTAGTATCGGTGAATATTGTCGGACACATCGACGATAGTGGGCGACGACCCGCTGTCACCCAATTTGCATCAGAGTCTGGAATACCAAAGTCATTGGTGGCACCGGTAGTAAAGTCATCCATTTGATTGTTAAATAGGATTCCTGTCTGTGGAGACATCACTTTTGAACCAAAACTGCAGACAAAGACACGTCAATAAACTGGGATTTCAATCAGTGTGTCGGAGACCAGTGAAGTTTTTAAAAGAGACCAGTGAAGTTTTTTAAAGAGACCAGTAAAGTTTTTTTAAAAACGTATCAGTGCACTCATTAAGCGCAGGGTATAAGAAAATAGTGCATTCAAATATATACAGTGTTATGCCGCATGCAGTGTACACTTTAATGTGCACATTTTTTTGTGCGCCAAATGTGTTTACCATTGATTCTCACTAACTGTGTTAAACTTTTATTAATAAAACTAAGACACAGTTAGTGAGAATCAATGGTAAACACATTTGGCGCACAAAAAAATGTGCACATTAAAGTGTACACTGCATGCGGCATAACACTGTATATATTTGAATGCACTATTTTATACCCTGCGCTTAATGAGTGCACTGATACGTTTTTAAAAAAACTTCACTGGTCTCTTTAAAAAACTTCACTGGTCTCCGACACACTGATTTCAATAATTGTCATCAACTATACTGACTATGAGTTAACAGTTGTGGTGACGGCCACAACATTGCCGAGAGAGTCCACAACAGACGCGTGGGCTGTTCCGTGATCTTCAGACATAAAGACCTAAACATTGAAAAAGAATCAATAAATTGTTACAACATTTATAATATGAGTTAAACTGACGGGTGTTTTGTCGTAATGACCGGAGTCACTTTTGAATGTTTGCGAGTCATCGATATAAGCGCTCACATTCTTCGCGAAGTCATTGGACGTCAACTGTTCCAACACTTCCAATACTTTACTGGTGTGACTGTCCTCTAAATGGGATCGCTTAGCGAACGCATACTTATAGGTCTCGACGAGTCGGTGATAGAATAGCACGGAATCCTTCACAGTATCGGCGCTGTTTGGATACAAATCCGGGTATCTCTGCATCACATTCATTATGAATGACAACACATTTCCACTTCCTATTCATATATTCACAGAACATATTATGGACACAAAGTGTGACAAAGAAGTGA